CCAAGAATACTTCCTTGAGGAACTCCAGTGTTAATTGGATTTGGTTCAGAAAGCACACCTTGAAATTGAACGATCTGCTTGCGATGGAATAAATAATCAGTAAACCATTGAAGTTCCATATTATATACGCCATAAGGGGACAGTTTACTCAATAAAACGGAATGACTAATGGTATCGAATGCCTTTGATAAGTCAATAAAAACTGCTCCTGTCGCCTTTCCAATGTCGGCCTCCTTTCTGATGAGATCAGTGAAGTAAGTAACAGCTAGTTCCGTTGAGCGGTTCGGACGGAAACCAAATTGGTACTCAAAAAGTTGACTATGACGCTCTAGGTGAGCCATCAGCTGCTTGTAGACTATCCTGTCCAAGATCTTTGACAAAGTAGGGAGAATTGAGATAGGCCTGTAATTGTCAATCTCAGCCAGAGACCCTGATTTGTATAGGGGGATCACATTTGCCACTTTCCACTCACTAGGAAAGTCTACATTCTGCTATAACATTTTTTTTTTAATTCCTCATCATTTTTTTTTAAATTCCTCATCATTTCCTAATCTCAGCCAGAGACCCTGATTTGTATAAGGGGATCACCTTTGCCACTTTCNCTGCTATAACATTTTTTTTTTAATTCCTCATCATTTTTTTTTAAATTCCTCATCATTTCCTAATCTCAGCCAGAGACCCTGATTTGTATAAGGGGATCACCTTTGCCACTTTCCACTCACTAGGATAGTCTACATTCTGCTATAACATTTTTATCAATTCCTTCAAATAAAACATGTTGAGTCTTGGAAAATGCATGTTCAAATGTTTTTGAAATGACCAATCTTATTTTATGTCTCTTTTTTGTCAACACAGAAAAATGAAGTGAAGTCTTTAGTGAGGATGAAAAGGAAAAAGGTGAATTGTTTTTGTTCATTTTCACGAGTGTATTTCAGTTGTCTATTTATAGTCTGTCAGCTGTTGTTTTTATTGGTCTACATCATGTTTATTTCAGGAATACTTCAAACGAAGTCGTGAAGAAAAAAAAGCTGAAAAGAAGTCCACAGTGGAATCAGAGCCTGCTGCAGCAATAGGTACAGGTAATGGTGTATAGCTTCTTTAATAATTATTCTTTCCCGATTTTTTACCTTCCAGTTTTCTATGTTGCAACTTCTTCAAGTAGAACATTACTTACAATTTATCGGAAATGCTAGTACATGTATGTTAGCATCATATTGGCCACTTCGTCATTTTTGTTTGGCCACTTTCTGCGTTTCAAACGAATACGCAATCAGTCATTTCTTATTTAAAACTCTTTCAAAGCAGGTCAGCTATGGTTTTACCTCTGGTTACTCCAGACTTTCAAGCCGGTTATCTTTCGTTACCGATTTACGAAATCAGCCGTTTGGCTTTCCATGAAAGTATCTGTAAACTCCTATATATACGCTGTATGTTAAGAAGACAGTTCCGAGGTGGCGTGAAGCGCGAATAGCGCGCGCGCGCGCACGGAAACATTTCGAATTTAAGTTACGCGTACGTTAGTTGCGCTTACGAATTTAAGTTGCGTGGACGTTTATCGGCAGAGTTTTAGACAGTTTCCAGTGAGCAGTTGTTGTGCCTTTTAGAGAGTTTTGTGCCGTTTAGAGTTTACCGTTTTACTGATTTTGAAGTGTTTTGGTCGAGTACTGTTTCCCTTTACCGCTCACGAACACTGTATCTTTTTAACTTACGTGTGTGTCAGTTTCCTTATACGAAAGACTTCAACTTCATTTAATTCATTTTTTTCCTTTTCATGCTACGAAAAGAAGAAAATCACATTCCGAAAACTGTACTAAAGGAAATTCAAAAAGAGAGAGTAGAAAACGCAATGAAGAGCGGTGGACAGAGAGTGGCCATTGATTTTACTGTATCGGATGACATGCGCAATAAGGTCAGTAGATCTGTCAATCGTCAACTGACTGACTGACTGACTGACGGAAGGACGGAGGGACGGAGGGACGGATGGACTGACTGACGGACGGACGGACGGACAGACAGACAGACGGAAAGGAAGGACTGACTGACTAGAGGACAGAAGGACGGACTGACGGAAGGATGGACGGACTGATTAATAGGCCATATTCGTATTCACGGTATTGGACTGGAACTAGCTTGCAGATGAGGCTGATGCGGGGAGTCTGTTCAAATGTAAATGGCATTTGTCGCTTTTTAATGATATTCCCCCACACAAGCCTCTGTTGCAAGCTAGTTCCAGTCCAATACCGAGAATACGAATATGGCCTACTGAATGATTGATTAGAGCGGTTTTTGATAACTTTGGTTTTGGTTTTACTGCGGTTTGAGATTGGCTGAGTAGTCTAATTAGTAAGTAGTTTGTTTGGTTTTAGTTTTACGATCTAATTAAAAATAGTGAACCCTTTAACACATTTCTATAATATTCAAATTCCAGAAAAAGAATATACCAGTACTCAAGGGATCAAGCAAATTTGGGGACGAGAATTAATGAAACAACAGGCGTCTGCGTACATACCCTGCTTTCCCTCGCATCTCTCAATTGAAAACCACAGCTGTAATTGATTGATTGCTTACAACTATGAGTAATATGCTAATCACTTTCTTACGATATCATTTCCAGGAAGTGACCAAACTTGCTGCTCAGGTGCGACAGCTGTATGGTTCCAACATGAAGTCAGTTTCGCCTGTTCATCTCCATCTGACAGGACTAGTGACGGGCAGCAGAGTATACCTTGAGTGCGTCAGACAGTCTCTGGACTTCAGTAAACTGATGGTGAGTGAACCCGGGCCACACACAGCTCATGTCTGCGAGCAACTACTTGTTGTGATCGTAATCAGCCAGAGTCCCTCCCCTAGGGTATAGGATTGAGCCAACCGATTTCTACGAATCACATCGTGAGTTTGTAAATCCCGCCAATGAACCGTACGCAACCCTCTTTAACTCTTTAATACTAACCAACGTGGCTTGCACTGAGAAGTTAAAGGCATAATAGCGGCGTCAGTGAGTGATTGCGCCGTTGCTCTGATATACATCTACATTTAATTAAGTCGGTAAAATCGCAAGATATGACTCCAGCTTTTCTTCTTTGTGACCCTCCCAGGGGGTAATTAAACAGTTAACTTCCTTAAAACCAAACAAAGCAAGTGGCCCGGACGACATCCCCACTGGTTCTTAAAAGAGCATGCACGTGAGGTTGGCCCTATCTTAAGAGTACTCTTTCAAGCTTCCGTTGGTTCTGGTATTGTGCCATCACGATGGAAAGATGCAAATGCGTGTGGTGTATTTAAGAACGGTGATAGGTCCAAGCCTTCAAACTACAGACCCATTTCATTGACTTATGTCGCGTCAAAAGTTCTTGGACACATTGTTCACAGCCACGTGATGAAACACCTTGAACTACACCAAATTCTTACAGACGTGCAGCATGGCCTTAGAGCCAAGCGATCTACAGTTACCCAGCTGATGATAACTATTCACGACTGATGATGGCAATGTGTCCGAGTCAAGGTCTAAAGAATGTTATTATGATTCTTAGGTTCGCTTTTCAGAGGAGAGTTTTTTGACCTTGTTTGACCCTGATGAAGTTGTATATCTCACACCTGACTCCCCCAATGGTAAGGAAAAATACGAAACAGTCATTCTGGTTACTCCAGAATGTTCAAAGCCCGATTAAGCTAACCCAAGATTAGCGAGAATTTTGATTTCACTTTTGTAACTTTTCGGTGAGGTTTTCGGTTTATATTGTTTGTCCTTGAGTTCTGGGTTTGAATAATCTCAAACTACACAAAGCATAAGCAGTAAACACATTTCTATACAAGAAAAAGTAATGTTTCGCTTAACTTTTGATCCTGGATTAGCGTTAACCGGCTTTCGAACAACCCATCCTAATGAAGCGCACTAGTTGGAGAGGTCTGGAGTAGAGCGCAGAATGGCTTCGACAAAATTATGAAAAATTATGAAAAAACGCGTTTAACAAGTTAGTTATAAACACTAACAAACCAAAGACAGACAAGAACAATTTGTAACTTTTTGGAGATTTGCCAGATTAGTTCTTGCATTGAAACGTGTCAGTCATCTTTTTGTACGATTATGGTGTCTTATTCTAATTATTACTGCGTGTTTATGCCGATCATAAAAAAAGGTTACAATTGGATGCTCCGCCACGCAGCACTGTTATGAGAAGTTGGAGAGTAGAGAAAGAACTTTCCAGGGCTAATCCTCAGAAGGAAATTTCTGTTTTTTTTTTCTCCAGCACTTTTAAAATTACTCAGAATTACTACTTTGCAGCTTATGTTGCAGCATAGTTAGTAAGCTATTTTATCGTTGATGTTTCAGAACTTGATCAACTGAACAAAGATAAAGTGTACGTTATAGGCGGACTTGTAGATCATCAATTACGCAAGGTAACGATAAGAACTCTCTTAGTTTTCATTTTAGCCATTAGTTTTCTACCAATATAATACTTAGATATACTTTCATTGCTCTCTTTTATTGTATCGATCTAGAAAAATTGTACTTCATAGATATGTAATTTCCTTTTTATTCAATTTTTAAACTCCTTGTACATATCTTTGCGGTAATTTTTAAATTCTGAATTTTTTTATCATGTAGTCTTAATTTTACGCAGGGCCCCTTTTGACACCAGCCTATGGCTGCTGAGGCTAGCCTGCCTAAATAACAGTGACTTGACTTGACGAGCTCTATGTTCATAAAACTACAGTACTGTTATTATTTACGAGGCTGTGTTTAATTTCATCAGTTTAGAAGATTTCAGACCATCTCAGATCTTAAAATGTGTGGGGTTCAAACTTGTACCAGACTAAATAAGCAGTCGTTGATCGTGGGGCTGAGCCTCGAAATGTTTTAGTATTGATTTAGTTTTCCAATTAGAGGAAAAGCCATTGGTTCATGTAATGTAGAAGAGACCAAATGTCTAAGGTGATTCACGTTATTGTTATAAAATGCCTTCCTTTTTTTCTTTAATAACTTTTTTAATGTTTCAAGCCTTACGTCAAAGGTCTTAGCCGATATATTGCATGTACAATCCGAAATAACATGACTCTTGATATACGCTCTATTTATTTTTCCATGGCTCCCCTGGCACGAGTTTTTTTCAGCAGTTTCTGCTGGACAAAAATTTCTTTTTGGTAATTGCCTAACCTCCCTCCCCTCAAAAAAAATAATGGTCCGTCCCTAAAGTGGTTGGAGGATTCCTTGCTATTCCGGTGAAGTGTTTCCTCAGAGGTCCGTTGTCTCCTGTGCTGTCAGTCAAGAATGCCTGAATGCCCAGTTCTCAATCTCATCACCTGGTGAGACTAGCAGTAAACAGTCGCTCGTTACTCAGAGTGCAACCGATTACATCGTGAGACTAAATGATAATACCTTAATTACCATACTTGTGTAACAACTCGACTCTTTATTCTGCTTTTTAATTATCTGTTTGTACTTTTCAGTTTTCACCTGAGAATTACCGTATTGATTGACGGGCGCTTGTTGTTTGTTGTCAGGGTAAGACGAGATCTCGAGCGGAAGCTAAACAAGTGACTACAGCCCGCCTTCCCATCGACAAGTACATGGAGAGAAAGAAAGAGCCAGGATATCACTCCTTTTCAAACGTGCTCTCAGTAAACCAAGGTATTGCATAGACTTCACTAAATCGTTTTTTTTAATATCTTATGATCCAGGTGTTTCGATTCTCTCGCTTAGTGTGTACAGTGCTGCTGTTTACGCGAGGCCAGTGTATCCCATAAGCTGTAGGAGATGCGGATTTCGACTAAATAAAAGCACACTACTAACTACTTATTAACCGAGAGTGCGGTCTTTTCGGGACAATTTCAAACCGAGACCTTGCAGCGAGGTCAACACGGCAAGGCAAGACCGAACGTTGAGGTTAATGAGTTGTTTATTGCATGGCTTTTTGCTTTGTTTTGCAGGGTCGTGATCGGCCCGTGGGGATTACAGGAGAATAATGCCCTATAATAAGTCAATCAGAGCGCGCGTTATATTGTCTGCCTTTTAAGTTATTTTCGCGATCGAACTCTCGACACAACACTTGGGGCAACCAAACTTTTATTGAACTGAGAATTCCTACGAGTTCCAGTGCCCAACCCCTGCGCCATAACGCCAAATGCAAACTTTCAGCACCCAAGACTTATCGGTTCATCAAAAGCTTGGCTACATAAGTGCGGTGCAAGAGATCGATCGCCGAAAGTAAAAGGACATATTTTTTAGATGCTCTTGTTCAGTCGCTCGTCTCCTATAGTTTATGGTATCTCTGAGGCGTCAGTCAAAATGGCTGCCCTTGCGCTTTCATACTCGTGCAGAACTCTTGCGCCTTCCGCGTTATCGAGCAATTTGGAGTAATTATAGGTAATTCTCTGACATTCTGAGCCTTTTTCTATTGAGGGTCTATTATAGGGGGTCGTACATTCCGTAAACCGCCATATTTTGTTACTTGGAAACCGCAGACTGCTTTCGTTTTCTCCAAAAACCGAAATCGCCCTACTAGTAAGACGATTATATAATTCATGATCTTTTAACAATACTTAACAGATTGTTATCGAAATAATAGCTTAATAATCCGTCATGTACTTCTCCTCACAAAGACCACATGATCCATTCATTCCACATGATCCAACTGCATTCAGGAACCAGCGAACAAAACGTTTTGACGTCTAATGGGCTGTTCACAAAGACAAAGATTGCTTGAGATGTTTATAACGAAGCGTGAAAGTACTTGTTTTGAGCGCTCTCGATTTGAAAAACCGTCACCAAAACACACAAAAACCCCAACCGCGCGACAATTTCGTAACCAAAAACCGCCAGATAATTGTGAATGTACCCGCAAACCGGCACTCAAAACTGGCTTAAACCGCCAAACCTCCAGAGTATAACAGAACCTCTCTATTGGTTCTTATAACAGCGGTTTTTCCCATGACCAGCTGTCTAATCGCTCTCGATTAGTCAACGACAATTCACTGATTATCGGCAAAGAAGTGCAAATTTCTGATTAAAAGGCAAAACCGGTAATGACTTCCTTAGTGGCAATGCCACAGCTGGTGTAACAATATTTGCATCTACGCGATATTAATAAAATATTATTTGTTTATCGTGCCGACACCTGCGCCTCTTGAAAACATCACTATTTTAAGCGAAGCATCGGAAATCTTTACTTTTCCGTAAATCCCATTTCATTGCATGCTAGTGTCCGCTTTTGTGATATATTTTATTAATGCCGATCTGGTGTAGAGATAGGTGGATAAAAGTATGCTTTTTTTAGACCAAGGTAGCTTCCGTGCAGTTTACTATTGATCAAACGTTCTTTTTCTCCTCGACCGCGAATAAAAGAACGACTGATCGCTCGTTATCTTGCAGATGTCTTCTGTTTCTTCCGCAGCAGGAAAGGAAGTAGGTCACTGCCGTAAATTCCGGTTAAAAACCCTGGGCTTATACAGCTTCATAAGGGGATTTGGGTGTGCTTATAAACGCGCCGGGGGGGGGGCATGTATATTCGGGAGGACTTACAAGCGGCATAGAAGAAAAGTTTCAACATGAGTTGATGAAACAAATATCGAACAGTGTAAGTATTTCTTGGGAACAAGAAAAACAAGGCACAATTTAGGAAGCAAATACGCGAAGCACAAGAGTTCAAGGCCTAGGTATGGGAAAATTTACTTCTAAAGGCAAATACCGGAGGCGGAGGTTCACATATAGATCCCTTTGACTTTTGTCTAAGGCTTAGTTCACATTAGCGACATTACGACATTACGACATAAACACAACCACATACGAAGGACGTTGCGGCGTTATGTTTGCTGTGTGAAGATCCTGACATAATGACAACATAACAGCAACATGACGACATAAAGAAACAAAAAAATGATATTTTCGTTATGGCTTTATGTCGATGTTCACATTACCGACATAATAAGCGATTATCTCGTTATGTCGCTCATGTGAACAAGGCCTAACATAACGACATTTGTAAGTAAGAAAGTAAAGTAAAGCCTGTTCATACTAGCGACATAACGACATAGTCACGAACGACATAAAAAGGACGTTATCTCAACGTAAAAAGGACGTTATGTTTGTAGTGTGAACATGTAGACATAATGACATATTAGCAACATAACAGCATGAACATAACGGCATAAAGATAAAACTGATCTTTTCCTTATGTCGTTATGTCGCTAGTGTGAACCAGGCTTAAGTAACTCAATTTAAGTGTCACACTAAAATAGCAGCAATAAAACCGCTAGGTGAGGACTCTTAAAAAAATTAGAATGAGAAGACCTAACATTATGTTTAAAAAGCTAATAAAAAATACTTGCAATTTAAAACTATAAATACGATAAAAATGCAAAAGATATATGAGATAAAAATACATAAAAGTCATTAAGAAGCACATTAAGTGCAATTATTATATGGCTGTGTCTCACAAGGACTGGGAACTATTGAATTCACGAATTTGATTGGGTGAACTCGATATTGACCGCGATCTAGATTTTCCCATCTAGACCGGCATCTTTACCGGTTTCATTTTGCGTTGAAAAAGTAGCAAACTAAAATACAAAAGTGTTCACCGTTTTCTTTTATTTTCTTCTCAATCATTTATGGGAGTGCCAAAAAGCCTGATGACAAAAAGAAGTAAAGAGGACGAGCAATTTCGGCAGCCTTAAGTTAAGCTCATCGCCGTTCGCTAGCAAACCAGTTACACTAAACGAATGAAAGTTTTCTTCTTTGCCATATAATAAACATCTTATTAACCGAGCTCAGTCGGTCTGTATGGGAGAATCTTGACCTCCGTCGTGTGTACAGACCTCACTGCGTTCGGTCTGTACTCACGACCTCGGTCAAGATTCTCCCATACAGACCTCCCGCTCGGTTAATAAGAGCTAATTATCACCACAGCTATCAGTTAAAATATCTAAGTCTTAAAAGATGACAATGTCGGCGAACTTCTAATATTCCTTGGTATAAAATTTCATAACTTAAGCCCAGTATATCTGATTGTCTGATGTTTGCGTTTCTAGCGGTTTCATCTCAATACTAGTACTATCGAAATCTCAAAATATCTCTTTTCTAAGGGTGTGTTTTTTTGGGGTGATCTGAATTAGGATCAGTGATCCAAGATCACTCGGATCGTGGTGAATCAAAGGAAACGTGGAATCCGTGACCAGAGTGGATTCATCGGTTCCTTTGATGTACCATGATCTGAGTGATCTTGATCTTAGTGACCTTGGATTCTTGATAAAGGTTTTCTGACTTTCACATTTATTGCATTTATTAAATAAAATTTGCGTTATAAATGATTTGAACAGGCTCACGTTGTTTAGGGCTGGACCATCAACCTAAAAGAGACTGGAAATTTCCACTAGCTTCCCATCCATCTCTCATTTATAATTTTTCATTTCCTCCCCCCCCCCTCTTCCCTTCTCCCTTCCGCACACAAAAGGCTTTCGCAGAAAATACCCTATACCCTATAGTAAACGCACTGCGCCAATCTTTGATTACTACAAGTTTACATGAAGATAGGACTATCGCTGTGTAGAGTGGGGGGCTCGTAAACGGAGGGTCTTATAACCAGAATTTTACCGTTTAAATACTGTTGCTGCCGGTTTTTATAAATATTCGCTTCATTTAAACACCCAGATAAAGCAGTTTTGACAGAAGTAATAACTCCGATAATTAAATTCTAGTTGGCGGTATTTCTTTCCGACAACAACGTCATGCTTTTCATCTTAGTTGGACAGAATTTCAGCGTTATTGACGGCACGAGATCGACTGATAGGAAGGCTGTGCGGCAAGTGGTCCAGTGACCAATCACCTCTCGCATATTTTAATCTTCTCGCGATAAATTAAACGTTTCGCAATCAAGAAATAAGATGCGTTGCTCACAAGCTGGGCATTTGGATGTTTTGTTTTTCTAGCTTCTTTTGTACTTTAATCAGGGCCTGGGATTCTATCCTAGAATAAAATAAGTAATGTGGAGTTTTCTTAATGGCACTGGTGAGACACCATTACTGGGTATCTGTTGGAAAACAAATTTCTTCTATTCGATCGCCACATTCGAAAAGACGTGCTCTGAAAACTGCGCCAATTTAACTTCTTATTCAGTTTGTCATTAAAAATGGATGAGAAGTGCGAAATTATAAACATTTTCTCCGCCTGCATTATAGTCTTTAGACACTTTATAGTCTTAAGCTCTGTTTCCATACGGCAAAGGGAGCGAAATGCGCTAAGTTCGTGTTTGTAGAAAGAGTTTCCGGCGTAGAATGAGAGTAACTCTATTTATTCAGATAAATTCATACTAGAAACTCTTTGGAATACAACCCTTTTGCCACAAAGTTAGTCTATCTACAGCTGCTGCTTCTTTTTTTTTATAAAATCATTGTTAAAATTGTATCAGAGAGGGTTTGCTAGAAGCCGTGAGACACTATATAACAGAAGGTCTGTATAAAAGTCTAATTAAAATCTGGGCATTGTTTACTGTTCGTAGTTTTTAATCTTCTAATCCAAGAAAAGTCGAACATAAAAATAATGGAAAACAAATGTTTTGTTTGTGTTCATCAGACAACGAGCTCTTAGAAGGTTGACGTTTGATTATTCTTCAAGAATGGCGATTGCATGTTGTAGCCTACTGCTAATTGCGTCAAACTCTTAGACTGTCTAGTCTTCTAAACGTTTACGTTCCCTGGTGTTAAGTTCAGTGCTACAAAAATTATGGAAACTAGACATTCTATTTTATGTTCTATGTAGCCAGTTCTTTGAGCGACCGAGTTTGTGTCTTCTTCTTCAGGGAAGTAATTTATTATTCTAAAATCTCTTGTCACCTCTTTAGTCTTTCTATAAATAGTCCTGGGTCTTTATCCCACGCACCAGTTTCGATATTGAAGTTAGAGTTTTATCTAGCGTTGTCCAGCCCGTATTCTCTGATGAACCAGCTCTTGATTTCATCGTCTATTTCACGGTAACACTTTCGCTTCTTGCAAGACCTCATGCTGCTGGTTACACAAGACAAAGCCTCACTGGCTGATTCACTGGAAAAGGGTCCTTCCGCAGCACTTGTTTGTGTGAAGAATTCGGGGAACATTGCTTGAGCTGTGTAACTGATCTCCCTGACATAAGATTCTGTTTTGGTAAAGGAGGTCGATGAATACAAACTACTGCAACTCGAGTTGGAGCTAGATGAGTAATGTTCGTAAAACGCCTCGGTGTGGAAGGTATTTTCCTTTCGAGTTTCACTCTTCAGTTGGCGAATCATTTTCAGTGCGCTTCCACTTGGCTCGAAGACGCGTCGCGGTTCCCTTAGTTTTCCCTTTTAGTCAGCAGCTGGGTTCAATAGTGTCTGTCGTAGCTTATCCGCCCAGGATAGATCCATTAGCTTACGCTGCAACTTTAGTCTACCAAAAATGTCAGCTGCTTGGAATACTTGTATGTGATCCGCGCCTGCCACATTGCGGGAACTTAACTTACGTAACCACTGCCAGAAACATGCGAGCGTACGCGTGAGCCTTTGGGACATCATCAAAATATTTTGAGACCTTAATGTGAATATGTTGTGTGATATATGTTTATGGCAGTGTAAGTAAATGTTGCCAAAACTATTATTCTAGAATTTCTAAGAAAAATTGATGGACACCAACCGAACAGATCGATCCGATCGAATCGATCTAATTTTTTGGAAAATTAGGCGAGAAGTATAAAACATAACAACGAAAAACGATCTGTGGTAGAAAGTTGTTTAACAATAGGCCAGAAAATTTTAAGGCAGATGTTAATGAAAATTTCATGTTGGCTTGATAATAGACAGTTGCCTAGACAATATTGTGTTCTTTTGAGAAAGTAGAGAATTGAATTAATACCCTTTTTCACACTTGATGTGTTGGGTGTATTATTGTTCGTTTTCTCTGTCTTTGCTTCTAACAGGCTGCCGTTTGTCGTCTGAGTAGCTGAAAGCTATTTTTTGAAGCTAAAAGAAAATAACCACACAACGCTTTTACAAGTTATCAACTGAGACGAAAATATCAGCTGATGACACTAGAGGGATTTTGACGAAATTTGTGATAAGAGTAGTTTTTTCGGTCACCCAAGATACACACATGCGATCCTGGAATGAGTTGAAAAAGTGGGAAAAGAGACACGAGATTCAAATGTTCTACTTTTTTGACATTTTGTATAATTTTAAATTGCAGAGAAGGTTGACACAAAGGAGTTAAATTAGTAGCATTTTATTTTTCGACAACTTTTTGACACATCTGTTGGATTGTGTGACGAAGTGCGAGTTTCCATTTTACGTCGTTTAAGTGTTTGTTTTCTCGCTTGCGTTCCCCGCCTTTAGGCGTCCTGGATTTTGATTGGTTTATTCTAAAATCAATAGCGCTTTTCGCGTTGCCGTGTTTGCATAACAGTACAGCGAACATTCTAACAAGGCACAACCTGTCAGACACCTTGCTTTTCTTCGGTGCCTTGAACAAGCAGTCTTTAATACGGAGAAGAATTACGTCTTCAGTTCTTGAAGGTTTTGTTGATGGCAAAGATCGTTAAAGGATCACTCTCTGGCTGATGTGAATCTAATGTTTTAAGTCTTCAATTTTAATTTACATTAATTTCTTACGCGCATACGTCTTGTCGTCTTGTTTTCCTTTTTTCTGAGGAAGGAAATAGGAAACAGCTGCATGTTTACAATATTCTAAACAAGAAAAGGAAACGAAACATTATTCATCTTTTCAGCGATATGCAACGCGAAAATTCCGCGAAAATGCTAAACGTTAATTAACAAATGCTAATATGGTTTTGTTGGGAATTCCTTGAACCAATCATCCTCGGAGACTTGGGGCGGGTGGAAATAAAAACGTCAAAAATTGAAGCCTCGAAAGTTTCTGCCTTACTTGTAAAGCTTCGACGCTTCAATTTTTCTCGGATTTCTTCCCGCCCCAACTAACTGCCCCTGGTCCTCCGAGGATGAGAACCAATGAAAATACAAGATCAACCACATGAGTGCATAAATTAGCATAGATAATGTAATTTAGTTGTATCGTGTGACGAGCCGATGCCAGGGCCTTGTCCCGCCCCTCCGAAATTCCAACGGAAAAGACGGTCACTGAACGATGGGAAGTTTAAGACTACTGCAAAGCTGACACAACGTGGTATATTTGAAACAATATTTCGGGTGGCCAGACCAGTCGTCTTCAGGTTTAGGTGTGAATTGCGCTTAACTCGTGAATTGCGCATGCACAACACGAGTTATCGTGAGTTATGGAAAATTAATATTCAACTTTCATTCACTGTACGAATTCCGATTTTCTGATTGGCTGATTTGTACCACGTGATACTGGGTTGTGACGAGACAACCACCTTGACGTCATTATCGTGGTGTAATAGCCGTGGTGTAAATTCAACACACCACTGTCATCGCGCCATGGCTTCGAATGACTCAAATATAGTGGTTTCAATGCAGTGTTTCTTTGTGCAGTGTGTTCAATTTGAATAATAAAAATGTTAACGCACTCATTGCACTCATTACTTGTGAATTGTCGGGATTTACCTGCACTTGTTCACTAACAATGAACTTGAAATTTTCAATACCGATATTGAAATTTTTCGTTCATTGTTAGTGAACTCGTGCAGGTAAATCCCGATGATTCACTCGCAGAGTACGTTAACCTGTAAATGTGTCGCTCGATCGCTCGATGGGCTGTAAACATTATGCAAATGAGGTTCGCTCGCGTCTTACTTTTAAATTGCTGTCCATCTTTAATTAACACAAGCTGTTTTTAAGGTCTGAATTAAAAGATGTAAGTTAAAGAAGACTCGGCCACAGAAAATGAGAACATCGAGAATTGTAAAATCGATGAGCAGCACAAGTTCCCACTGGATGCGGACTTCGTATGCCTTTTACAGAAACGGAAATCGTTGAAGTACGGTTATGGTATGGTAAATGCGCATATGGCGAGCGAAATGATATAAACACAGATTATTTATTAAAGTTTTTAGGGACGGAAGCAACGTGGGTGGAGGGGCAGATAGTCTCCTTCGCAGCCGTTATTAGGGTCGAGAAGCGTTCCGTGACGACCCTAGTAAGACTAATAACGGCTGCTAAGGAGACTAGGGGCAGAGTGCTAGTGTTCTAACTACAAAAATATTCAAGCTATCATAATCGGCGCTTTCGCTTTGACCAAATAATCCGGTTTAAATTTCCGAAAATTTCCACTTTGTCAGTTTAATGACGTCTCATAAGGTGAAAATGACTGTCGTCTCCAAAGATACGCCATCTTGAATACCATAAAGTGAAAATTCCCAGTGATAGGCGATTTGTTTCGGTTTTGTTTCCATTGCGATTTCTAAAATGTAAATAAAGTAAAAGCCGCTTGACTTGTGTTCTTCGCGTCATGATCTACATTTTTGCCTGCATGCGGCAACAGAAGAAATCATGCGTTTAGCCCTTTCAATGTAATATCGAAACAGATATTGGCTTTCAAATGCTGTCAAATTTCTGGGTGAGAAAAGAGCTATTATAAAATAGACCTTTTTCGTAAATGGCTGCCAATTACAAATTCTCTTGTAAGTATTAAATTGAGCCTGACTGACCTCGTTTTTCAGTTAACAGTTCAAAATTTTTTTTACACACAAACGAATTTAGCGACGTTAATTTAAATGGCAACCATTTATGAAGAGTTCATTAGCCCATACATTCTTCGTAAAATTTTGAGTGGTTCGGAAACCCGCGCTACACAAAAGTGTTTACATCGTGTATCGGGTTCAAATTTCTTGGAACAGTTAATTGTGACATGTCCTTTCAATATTCAGAGTTGATATCACGTTACTCGATCGAAGACTAAAGCGCTTGTGCTAATGAGGCAAATATTGTAAACGACGATTCCCCTATTGAGACTATTGACTCCATGGGAGTCGAAATTTGTGACCTAGTAATAAGAAAACTCAAAAAAATATATATCAAATTAAAAGTTAAATCTCACAGTTTGGGTGGACAAAATTTGGTCGCGCTAAGATGGTGACGTTCAGTACCTGACATATAATTGACACGTTCATAGACCGTTTTGGCGAGAACTGCGCACGCGCCCTATGTTTAACCGCTGTGAAGAGTGGAATAAGGTTAACGACAGTGTCTCTCCCAAGTATGGTGATTTATGGCCCTGTAGTTTGTGAATACTCATTTTTTGTGGTTCAGTTGTACTTAACTCCATTGTTTCTCGCTATTGCTTTCAGTTTTCGATATTTTGTTGAAATTCCACGAAACTCAAGATTGGCGATGTACTTTGGAGACTTGTGTACCTCCTCGCAAAGGATTAGTGTTAAAGCAGCCGTAACCCTGGTCAGTGAAATCACACCCCCGTCATGGTTCAAAGACAGCGTTGTGGTGAGCGCCACAAGGTCAAGAACTCAATGAAGACACTTGAATTGTGAGACAAACTCCTTCCCAGAGCCCACGTGTCTTTTGGTCAGCTCCGTGTCTTGGCGCTGACCAAAAGACACGTGGGCTCTCGGAACGAGATTGCTTGTGAGAACAAATTACAACACGACCTGTTGTGTAGTGTCAGTTTTCAAGATGGTGGGCACATCAACAGATTGCTGCACTCGATAGTGCATCCTCAATCGCCAGTTGTACCGAGAAACATCCGGGACGAAAATCCTCAAGAGAATCCCAGACATTGATAACAAACTAGTGACAAAAGGATGTTTTACAGCAATTTCCTGCGCTAATCTTGCATCTGTGTGAACAAAACTTTCATGTATGGCAATTCAAGTGAAAGTTGAACCGTTCTTATTGATATAGTATTGACAGTTCACAATGAACAACAGCCTGGATACAGCGGAATGAAAAGACAAGAGCAAAAAACAAAAGGAATAGAAAAAGATAATCATCACTTTAACCCACGCGAATCTTGCCATGTTTCAATTTATTTACATCGATGTATTTACACAACAGGGTCTTTTTAAACATAATTCCTCTGCGCTCTGACACGTTGTACAAGTGAGTGGTGATATAAAGAATGCCACACTTGGCTCAGAATAGAGAGATGTCACGGCAGACAATGCCAGTGAGATATTTAACGTCTTTGAAGACCTTCAAGGAGAAACTATGAGGACGTTAACTGACAAATATCGGTAATAAAGTACTGTATATTAAACGAATGTGGAGTTGCTATTGTTGAACATTCTACTTTAGGACTGGAGAGGGGTGGGTACGTAACGGTTTGAAGCGAAGTGTTCTTTGAGATATTCGCCTCCTTTTTCGTCGTACTCCTCCCTGGTGACACTAACTGCCTGCAGACTGTTTAATGACTTTGCCCACTTACGGGCTCCGTTCCACGCATCAAGCACAGGGTTCACTGTGGAGAAAACATCAGCCGCGATGAAAATGCCACACACACTTTATTATAAACAATTATTGATTGTTTTATTGTACATTGAACGAAAAAAAAAAACTGGAAAGTCATGTTTTTGCTTCTTCCCCGACAGCAAGCAACACAAAGCACGCGAACTTGACATGATTACCCTTAGAAATCATGCACCGCGGTCATAAAAGACTTGATAACCCGTGACCTTGAGTGTCCTTGACATGATTATTGTATAATCTGCAGCTAGAGGACGTCACCGGCGCTGATTTTAAAAATTCGCTGTACGCTTTCGGCCAGTCAGAAAAGAGATTGTGAGTTCAATGTATCATAATATGACAAACTAGACCAAGATGAAAAGGAGAATTCTGATTGGTTACCTGAGTAGTCCGACCTTTGCAAAACGGACCGCTAAGATAGACCGCTCTTGAATTAGTTTCGGCGACTTGCGGTTTTCAAAACATTTCACAAAAGAAACACATCGTTAAGTAGTAATCGTATTTTTCCTTCATATTTGGCGGACAATGTGAGTTTCACTTTCACGATAGCAACGTGAAAAACGGTAGTAACTGTTAACTTTTGCGAGCTCGTTTATCGAGGAAGGATCGCGGGGAAGCAGTACTGATTCATCAGCAGAAGTCAGTTTACAAGAGCCGCCATAATAAATAGTTTATCCATTAGGGAATATTGGTGTCGTTCTTTGTTTGCAGATTTATGGATGCCGCTCGCTCCATAACTTTGCGAAAAATAATGGAACGCGACGGTCACATCACTTAACCTCTTTGAAAATACCTTAGCCTGTGAACGCAGACGTATTTCCAGCTGTCACTTCGGAAAAAAAAAATTCCAGTATGATCAAGTCGTGTCGGTCAATGTTATCTAGTTTCTAGTCTTCACCCACCTGAGTGCTAACGTCTGCCTTGGTGACGTTGCAGAAACAATTCAAGCCAAGATACTATAAATACTTAGCTCAGGGAAGTGCACGCGATAATCTGAACATAACTAGTTGGTTTACCTGCATTGAAAACTTTAAATGTTGACTGGAATGGTCGGATAGCAAGGAGTTCCCTCTCCAAGCGCTCTTGAAAGTTTAGAAACTTTGTATTTCCTCCAGTCACAAACACTTTCTGAAAGAAGGAACATGGGATCCACTCTTGTGTAAATCACTCTAGGGTAGGGGTGAAGGGTTTTACATGTAATAATCAAACGTACGAGTTCGTATTGTTCTTCGACATCGGAGAGAGTATCATAGACGAAACTGAATGACATCTTGATAGAACCTTGCAATATGCCTTAAAGTTAGTTGCTTATAAATTATATAAAGTGCGTGGAAGCTATAAAAATTAAGAGTGTTACAATGGGTTATGATAAATTCTGGCGGAAGTGTTAAAATCCTGACGTCGTGGTTTGGCGGAAAAAGCATTAAAAGCTAAAAACGCACGCAAATCCACACGTCACGTCATGCACCGAGAGCGCGCGCTAAGTAATAAAATGAACAATGATAGGGCAGATGGTCATTGCTATAGCTTTGCCTGGATTTAACGATCTTGGACGTTCCGTGACCTCTATTTTTCTTTTGATGGATGATTTCTCTACCGATTTTCTACGTTAAGTGAAAAAATGAAGAAAATCTATCGATTAGAAGTTTGAATTTTTTAGAAAATGTACCATCGAATACCGTTCTTTTTAGCTCTTCATTTATCTGTGCGGCGGTTACAAATGCCTCTTGGTAGGTTAAGTTTTGAGAAAAACTTGGCAACATTTGGAATTATTCACGCAACAGACCCACTTCCACAAAATGTGACTAAGATCGTTTGTCTCCGTTGACTCACCTTCGATATTTTTAACTATAAACCCCCGTAGACCATGCTGAATTATATGTGCCAATATTTCAAAATAAGGGTAGTTTTCCACACGTTTTATCTCTGAAACGGAGTCGGTGACCCCCAATTTTTTTTGCATTTCTGACACAAGTAACTCAATATCTGGCGGCAGTTTAAATTTTAAAAAAATCCATCTACTGGAAATTTTCGCGCGACCGTCCTTTAATAGTGTTATCATCTTGGTATTGTAGGAGTATGGTGCGTGCAATCAAACACTGCTTTGACCAAAAACAAAGCAAACTAGCCATGGCAATGGCCCTTTAAGTTTTAATCAAACTAGTAGCCACGTGGTACCTGTACTAGAGCTGTTTGTAGATCTGCGGAGTAGTGATTGAGTATGAAATCTATCGTCTCTGCAATCCCAGCTTGTTCAATGCCCAGCATGGATGGTTGGTATACTATCTCGGGTACTCTGAAAACACAGACATTGTTTCACAACGTGAGAGAACTGAATCCACGCGATCAGATGAGAATAAAGTAATAGAGAGGAATTTTTTACTGTTGTGAAACTAAATTAAACGACCGTCCAAGCACAAACCCTGTATATAGTGACCACATTTGGCCAATCAGAACAGTCGCAAAGTAACGCGAGGAACGAAACACGAACGTCACTGGTGAAGAGCGCGGGAAAACGCTTGACGGTGAGTCACTTTTAGCTTGGACCTTGCTTCTTCTAGATTGAAAGAAATTAAAGGGTCTTGTTTCGCCAGGCTGGAGTGTAAAAGGGAACTTTCTTTGAACCAGTGAGAAAGCTCTGTAAAAAAAGTCAAGTCAAACAAACTTTCGACAGCGATTCGAAATGTTGGTTTACCCGACACAAAACGCCTGCTATGTGGGTTAGAAACCACTGTCTGTATTACCTTATCCTTTCCACGCCAAGATGTAGTTGATAATACTCTGCCCAGTCAACAGCGGTTTCCGGTTTGCCTCCAAAACGTCTTCAAAGCGGTATGAAAGGTAACGGTCGGTACATGAGATATGAATATTAAATCACGAAAGGGAAGAAAGGCGTCACTGTCAAGTAAAATATAAATTCCCTAGTTGTTCGAAGGCTGGACAATGCTATCCAGTGGGTAAATGTTAACAAAGCAAACCACGCTATCCGGTGGATATTGATTTATCCGGTCGATAGCGTTTCCGTAAGGACAAAATAAAGCGACTTCCTGTCGTTTGCCAAACTGGTTGCTTCATCTTCATCCGGAAAATGGATATCAAAAACTAATTTTCCGTTCAGTGCTGTTTTCAGGGAAAAGGTGGACATTTAATCGTTGGTTTTCAAACTTCTCCAGACATTTTCTGGGCAAAAAGGGCACAAAAAACCCTTGGACACCAAGTCCCGGGCACCTAGTGTACTTTTACATAAGAAAAGACAAATTAGCAAATAGAAAGTGATTAACAAGAATTCAACTAACAAGTTTCACTCTGCCGCACTCACTTTGAAAAGTCGGGATCGTGTTTCTTCAGCAAGTTTTCCAACTCGTTGAGTTCTTCCTGTTCCTTTTCGCTATCGGAGTCACCAGCATCTTTATTCTGTAGTTGGTAAAAAGAGTTGTTACAATCGTCATCATTGTCGTTATCATTTTCGATGCGTTCGATGCATGATCTTTCTCCGGGAGAGGGGAGGGAAAGGAGAGGGGAGGAAGTGGGGAGAGGATACAAAGGAGAGGGCAGGGAGGGGAGGATATGTTGGAGATTGCAGATGCGATGGAAGGCCATTCGTTAAGAAAGCGGGTCGGTATAAACTAATGACAATGAACTACAATTGCAATATACCTTGCAATTCTAGTAACACGATGCTTTTGAGTGATGTACCGTGCATTATCCTAACCTCGTACGTACACACAAGTCTTTATACTAGTGTAGGATGTAGTGTGTATTAGTGGTTTTCAGTGTCACGCCATAAAAAATAGATTAAAATATAATTCAAAACCGTTGAACAGATAAAGTCCAGAATCTGAGAAAAGAAAGAAGGTAAATATGCCAAGACTCTCGCCAAGATTCGGGTCACAACAATTTTTCTTATGCAAGATATGCGGAAAAACTTTTTACCTAAATTTACAGAGATTTGTATGGAGACGCCATGTTGGTGCCCATCCGGATGGGCACCAACATGGCGGCCGGAAACCAACAGAAACATCTGTCACTGAGTTTTGCTACAAAAGCGTGCATTTATCCCTCGAGGAACTCAAAAACATTAAAATAATACTTTTTCTAATACAAGAATTGTTCAGATAGCCAAATTCCCCGCAATAAGTCCCTTTTTTAACCAACATGACAGCTCTCTTCGCGTCATGTAAATGCCGCGTCACGCAAAAGCTTAGAAATTCAAGCGCAGTCTATCACAAAACCAAGGACCCATTCGGAGCAAAACTTTCTATGATTATTAGTTTTCAGCTGCTCTTATACATCATTAAAGTAAAATCTCAGGAAGATCAATAGTTTTGTAGTTTGAATTTTAGTGACGTCATGTGAAAACCGGCAATACGAAAGAACACCCCTGAGCATTAAACAGCAGCTGAGCGTTTTGATTGGTTGTACTTGGTACATTGGACTATTCACTCACAATGGATCTATACACCATCCAATCATCATCGTTTTGTCCAAAAGTATCTTCTTTTGGTTTCTTGTGTGTACTTCTTGTCGTACCATCGTCACGAACTATAACACAAACCGTTCATTCAGTTAATCACAAATCAGTCTTGAATTCTAAAAATGTCAAGGATTTAGAGGAATTGAGAGCTCAGCTTCGTATCCAAGTACATTACAACTGTAGTTTTTTCAAACTCAAAGACATCGCGTGCCAGGCAAATCCCGTTCCTACAGCCTCCGAGAGCGAGAGCGAGGGCTCTGGGAAGGTGATAATTTGAGCGTGAAAGTCATACTCATACTCCTATTAAGACCTGATGGTTCCTAATCTAGATGTAAATATCGCAGGGAAAAAAGACTTATTAATTTTTAGTCTTCCCAGTAAGTCGCACTGAACGGAGTGGTTTTAATATTCCCTTGTTTGTGTTTAGAGCATCTCTATAACATCAACGTTTCTAATAACACGTTTTTAAGTGTAAACATCCCAAATCAGAGGCTTTCCTAGTTGCTTACCAATCTAAACTGACAATTTGGCAGCTTCGTTGATTGACAAAACTCAAGCTTGTCGAACAGCAGCAAGAAGATTCTGAACTAGGGGAAAAAAAAAAACAAAACAAAATACCAACATTTGACTGAGCTGACTTACCGTTGGGATCATACGCCAGCTGAGACAAAATCCTCATTCTTTCAAGAGACGCGTGACTTCGTCTGCTTGCTAACTCCTCCCTTCGTTGAACGCGCTGTTGACGGGCGTCAAGTATTTCCTGACAAAATAAAACACTGACGTAAGTTATGTAGAAAGAAACAATCAGAAAACGTTTTCAATTTTTATTACCCAAACAGAAACAAGCTCAACATAATCGTATTTGAGAGACGTACCTTTCTCCTCCTGTGTAAACCCGTTAGCCATGTTTTAAAGGTTTCCTCTCTCTGTACTTCCTCGTGGCTCTTGTGTTGCATTTCTTGTTTCTTATCTTCCCTTAATCTCTTCCCGCTTTTCTCGTCCGCCGCAGTCGCTCCTTTGGGTGTCCGCTGTCTCTTTTTGTTTTCGACCGGTGGCTCAGATACAACGTCTATGATTTCGTCTTTTTCCTTGACCTGACGGTATGCGATGGTAAAGATTTCATTATCTTAATAATTAATTTAATTTATTGTTTTAGCACAGCTAACAAATAAAGTTGACAAGGATACGCTGGGCTACATCACCTCAGAGTCCAATTCCAAAGCTGTCTGCATTGCTACAATCTTGTCCTTTCGTTTCTTAACTGAGGATGTCAGATTCTTTATTGCAGCTTGCAATGCCTGACAAAGAAAGAGAAAAGCGTTTCATTTAAAGAAAGAAATCAGATGAAACCAAACCGATAATCAGAAAGGAAGTTCAGACGGGCAAATGATAATACTGACAGACAGACAGACAGACAGACAGACAGACACACACACACACACACACACACACACACGGAAAGACAGACAGCTGAGAATTTACCTCAGGACTCTGGAACCCTGCTGCAGTTAACGCTTTCTGAAAAAAGAAGGTTTATTTTAGAACCAACATGTACAAATTGTCACTAATACTAGACCCGCCTCGTTTCTTTCCTTGTTTGTTCGCGACGCTTCTCGAGATGGCATCACTTCTTTTACACGCACAGGCAGTCCCCATTGGAAAGCAGTCTAATATCCAAATGCCTAGCCTGTGAAACAAGCGTTCCCCTACGAATTAGAATTTTGACGGCTAGAAAATTGGGGGTCGGGCAAAAAACTGGAGGCGGAGGAGGAGGGTGAAGGGAGACCCTACCCCACCCCCCTATTTATTTACTCTGACCTATAGTCTGACACCTACTCTTACACGCCCAAAAGGCGGGAAAGCTTGCTTTGCGGGCAAATAGATGGTTTAGTCAGAACCCTGCAACTCTCTCAAAAGTCTTCGCCTTTTTGTAAACGTGTACTACACATGATGTTACGTAATTTGTCAAATTACGGTGTGTTAAGCTTGCGCGGCTCTCCTCTGTCAAGGGAGAACCACAACCTTGGCTTGGCGATTAGGAAAAACATTATCTAGTCTGTCTGTGACCGTTTCTTTCACGCCAGTTCAATCCCCACGGTTTTTTCTATGCTCGCTACAGATTATAGACGGTCCGTGAACAAACTTAGCGTTAATTTTTTTCATATTACCGGTATATTCTTGACACTGTACCTGGAATTCCTCACTATCTTCAAGTTCCAGTTCCTGAATATTCATAAGATCTTGTAGTCTGTCTTCTTCTTCTGCGAGCTTAAATAACCAGTTACAATATTGAATAACCTTTATTGGTAACTTCCACATTGGCATTAAATTTGAAAACAATGACAGGTTGTACATTTAGTTTTCGAAAGATGCTTTAAATTTGAAAAACAGCTCTACCTTTTCCTCTCTTCTTCTGGCATTTATTTCCTGTAATCTCCTTCCTTGTTTCTGCCTCCTTAGCTTTTCTTTTTCTTCACTCTTTGGCCCACTGTTCTGAGGTGCCTGGACCTGTGGGAGTTCACAGATGCAGTACTGTATGTTTTCCATATCCCTAATGTCATCTATTTCATATGCTAGATACACTGTATTATCAAAACTCAGTTAGTCGATCACTGGACCCATAAACAGTACAGAGTGTGGCTTTGAGTCCCACACTGTAACTTAAAAGCCAATCTGAATTGCTTAAATTACTGGCACACAGTGAGTTGTTGAACATCATCTCACTGATCTCTGCAATATTCCAGCCATGGTTCACACTCTTTCATGTTCATTGCTGGTGGAAACAGGGCCATAAAAAGCAAGATTTTGCCTTCACTACACAACCAAACACAGTCAAAGGTTATCAGGCATAGGTACGTTGGTAAGTCAAGTCCAACATATGTTTTAATTGACACAATAAGGTTACATAACGGTGAATAAAAGGTAGATCAAATAACATCCTACATGCACCAAAGCCTGACACATAAACCCCCAAAAACCTCCACCCGACCAAATGCAGCTGTGTCACCCTTGGGGTCTTAAGGTTATTATATAATAAACAACAGAATCAAAGATAAATAAGACAAAACTATTCACACAACACATAAAGTAACACTTGTCCAATAGTGCTAGTGGCAAGGCTGACCATAGAATGTCACAAGTTTCTCAACCGTTCTTTTTTTTACAAATGTAGTAACCAGGAGCCTTTCCACACTATGCTAGCACCCAATCCTCTGTTCCATGTCAGCAAAAAATTAATTGATGTCAATACCACCTATCACAAATTAAATTTTATCTCACCTGAGCATATGGCAGCTGAATTTTATGCACATTCTCATCATAATAATCAGACAATGCCCACTCATCAAGCTCCTTGGAGTAATCTGTGGCCATGGAGGTGTGGCCATGAACTAATTCCTGTACAAAAACAACACTTAAATAGTCCACCCCACTCTGAAAATGACTGCCAGTAGCATACCTGAATTCAAACACAGTGGCAGCTCATGAGGCCTACACTTCAATCCAGTTTGCAAAGCATATAAAATTTATAAACATAGCATAGATGGTGTGGTGTGATGTGGAGAGGTGTGGCACAGTCAAATTAGGGGCACCTGGAGCGGCATGGTGCAGCATAGTAATTTACTTGAGAAATCCACAGCATTAAAATACCTAGCCTTGCCCACAAAGCTGAGCTGTGAAAGCTGAGCTCAGAGGAAGAGAAGCATCAAACCTTGGAGTGAAGAAGGTGTGAGATTGAAGTTTCAACCCCCAGGCATGAGACTTATGGTCAGATCTTCTTAGAAAATCTTGGCACTTCCAGAATAAAAATCTCATACTTGTGACTTGGGAAAGTTAGCAGGAACAACTTACTGAAAAACACCTTGGCTTGCCTAATAAACACTAGCATTCATGAATAAACTACAGGAGACAAATAAATGATGAATCCTCCAGGCTACGTTTGACATATTTAACACATTAGGGGTGTTTAATTGAGAAAATGACAAATATTAAGCAGCACAAGGTTAGAGCGTATTTAGCAAATCCTATCTACTGTTGTTCGTGCTGGCTGTAAGTAAATCTATGAAGCTGTTGACATATTCACCTGTGCTCTTGAGAGTGTGATCTGTGTGGCGTGATGTGGGTGTTTCAACTGTAACAGTCTTTGCATGTACCATGTGGCGTGAGCTCCGCCCAGGTTAATCCTGTGTGATAAAACATTGAGTTAAAAACTTAATGTCAGTAGTGCACTTACATCATACATGTCATTAAACTCAAGTCAAAACCAGACAGTTCTTACAATGTCTCTTTTTTTAGTTTGTTGTGAAAACATATTTTCAACAATTAACAAAAGAACCTCTTGCCTAGCGATGGTAGAAATGCAGATCATATTTAAAAGCAAGCAAACTAGCATGGCCTAATGTTGTCTACTTGTGCAGCCACTTAAATCACATTTATTAACCACGCCCTGCACATAGATTACTCAATCAATCATTGTTATGAAGGAAATTATAATTTGCAGTGGCAACAGACCTCTTACAGTTGCTGGCATCCAGTCTTCCATTCAACACTGGTAGGACATGACTGACTTGACATCCAGATGACACTACTAATGCAGTGGTTTCATCTGCAATGATATACAACTTAACATTTTATTACAAGTTCATTAGAATTATTTGATTCTAAACAAAAAGTGATTTCACAATACAGCAGTTTTCTGACCCAAATTTCCCGGCTCTACCCACTGAGGTACAGTGGAGGCACATTGGCCTCATGGTGCACTTGTCACTCAAGTGGTCCAGGTTCGAGTTCTGGCTGAGGACATTTTGTTGTGATCTTGGGCAAGAGGGAGGCATGGTGGCCTCATGGTTAGTGCGCTCGTCTCCGGATCAAATGGTCCGGGTTCGAGCCCTGGCCGGGGACATTGTGTTGTGTTCTTGGGCAAGACACTTCACTCTCACACTGCCTCTCTCCACCC